GTTCAGAGTGTGAAGCTCTATTTCCTGTTTTGCTACATGGGACATGGTTCTCGTAACGCCCATGTTCCACTCCATTTGCCCAGCTATTGGCTTCTTCATCAGAAATACGACTGTTGGTACGATACATTGGATATATGTGATTCCAGATGGAGACTGGTTTCTGTTAGCAGAGTCTTTTCCTCTTCAAAAGCAAGAAAGGAGAAGGTGGCTAATGTTAAAAGTAGGGGGGGAAACTGTCTTGTTCAAGGAGTTGAGGTGAACAGGACCTGCTGCTGAGTGGCTTCCAGAGAACAGAAGAGTCTAAGGCTGCTGCTGAAGTTTGGACTCAAAGGTTGCCTCCCTGTCATTCTTCAATGCTTCTAGGTATGAGACGCTGAAATGTTCTGTGCCCTTGAAAATTGGACTCACAGGATTAACCTGAGCCAAAGGCAGTGAAAGCAGAAGCAATTTAGGCCCCCTCCCTGCACCCCCCCACTCCCCCACTCCCCATTTGTCAATAAACCTCAGTCACGACCTGTAATAGTCTCGGTATCCCAATTTTGTGATGTTTAGGTAAACACTGTCAATCATACATAAATTCTGTGCTGATTTTCTGTCATGTGGATAAATACCTTTCAGAATTAGATTGAGACCACCAAATTCTCTCCATCTGAGTCTTTGTCCAGACTTCCGAAACCTTAAAACTGTAACATATTACTATGCCACTACTTACCACACCACAGTCGTCTCAAACATTTCCCCCACTCATAAGTCAACGGGTCCAGTTCCCTTTCTCTGTCATGTGTAAGTTAGGAAGACTTTGTTCCCAAGAAAATTAAAGTAAATCGATGTTACTGAAAAACTTTAAAGGGTAAGGAATGTGCTTTTGTTCAGTGCTGTGAGTGACCAGCAAAGTAAAGGGACATGTGTTCATGTTGGATTAGTCCTATGACAATAAAAATAACAATAAGCCTTTGGATATGTTGGCAGCAAGTATCTAATTCTTTGGTCTGCCCTTTGACTATGATCTGGCTAATTTTCCAGATGTACTTACTCATCTGTTTGACAAAAAGGCCAAGAACTGATGTCCTACAGTTTTTCAGGTCTTACAGTCAGATCTGGTTTTTGGTATTTGGGTTGATGGGCTTGATCTCCATTTGTTCCAGAAAAAAAAGCGTTTATTCTGCTTGAAAGTGGGTGATTTTATAACAGTTCTTAAAGCATCTCAAAAGCAAGTCCAGTAACATTTAAGGACCTTCTAGAAGCAGTTACCAAATTAGTACCAGTCAGTAGACGCAATAGTTTTCAAAAGAATTGGCATAACTGAGTCTTTTCTTATAAAAGCATTAAGCATTCATATTGTATATTGTAAAATGAAGATGAACTGAAGTTGCATTTGTCATATTACATGTTGTGAGAAGCTGTGGAGACTTCAAGACACATCATCTAGTTTTCTGCATGCAAAAAAATTAAGGTATTTTTGTAGGAAGGCAAGTATTCTGCTGGATTATAGTAAGGCACTAGACACATAAAATAAGACAGACACATAGATTTTTAGCTGATAAGCTTTTTTTACTTTAGTACAATTAACGTGAAAAAACGTCTGCATTAAAACACAGGTACGCCGTAAGTGCCTGTTCAACAATGTTCCAGTTCAGATCGGCACATCAGGCAGTGCATGAATCCCAGCCAAACATCTTGTTAAATACTTGCAGGATTTCCCATAGCGGATCTTACTTTAATCAAATAATTCAAACGTTTCTTTTGTAAGTACAATAGAAGGGCAGGACTTGTGTTTACAAAGTATTCAGTATGGAAATCCTGTATTAATTGAGGTACATTTACTTCACTTAGGGCAGTGTCCACATAGTAACTCTTTAAATAAAAGGCCTTTTTGCTGTTGCCTGTTCCAGAGAGGCAATCACATGCAAAACTAACCCGTCACGTACAGAAAGTTATGAGGAAATGGCTTAAGAGATGTGTGCTGTAGACAACAGAGATGTTCCTAGCTAAAGAAGACAACTTTATGGATGATTTTCTCACAGTGGATGTAAAAGAATATAATGTATTAAAAGAAGTTTTATCCCTATGGAAACTACTAGATAAAGAGGCTGTGTCTTTCTAAATGTATTTCCAGAATGATTAGCATGGGCAATGCCAGATGTTGCCTTTTGTAATATCACGGATTCATATAAGCTGTGCTGTAAATTATGGTCTTTCTAAGGCAGCAGCTGTGTTTTCTGTGAGTAAACACAATACGCTTCCACCCAGCCCCGTGCAGGATCTGGAGGTTTTATTATTAACTGTAAAGCATTTAGAATTTCACATAAAGGGTGTATGAAAAGAAAGATAATATTATTACTCAGTGATAATATTATTACTCAGTAATAGGTGACTAGAATTGCGTTCCTCTGAGTTCCTTATTTTGCTGTGCCAGAAAATGCCAGAATCAAAATAAGCCACGTACAGAAGAATTAAAGAGAGAATCAGCATTTGCCTCCACAGTGAGTTGGAGATTACACGTTGCTTCTATATTCTATACAGTGAAATCTTTTTTCTCTTTTTTCATGAATTATAATTCTGCTATAGTTGAAAAGATTATTTTGCCAGTGTATAAAATACCTGGCAAAAAAAAGGTGTTTTAGAACATTTTTAGGTAAATGTAGGTCAGCACAAAGGAATCATACAGTTGGAAATATTTTCCAGTGTTTATGTTCAGATGTTCAGACCTGCCTGGCTCCTCTCTATTTGCATGTGTTGGGGTTATAGGCAGTCCTGCTACATTCCACATTGATTTATATAAATATATTGCAGATTATTAACCTTGAGCCAAATACCAATAAATTTCACTTTTTAGAAAGGTTTGTGACTTTTCACAAAACTGATTTACTGTGTACAAGACATCATCTGTGTACGCCCCATTAAGGGAATCATAAAGAGAACAGTATTTGTCTTTATGAGAAATGTGCCGAGATATTTGCTGTTTCAGTCACTATGTTACCATAATAATTTAATTCATATTTGTTTCTGTGATGATTACAGATTAAGTGCAGATTAGTCTTCTAGTAGAGGTAGGGTGACAGTCTCTCCGTATTCTGTAACTCCGGTTCCCAAATTATTACTCACTGAAAAGCTTCTTTAAGTTAGAAGGAATGTGCATGCATCCATTTTCAAAACATGGTGGCTAATAAACAATCTTTAAGTGTCTGACCAAAGATGATTTAGGAAACTCTGTTAAGAGGGACCATGGCCTTCACATGTTGAATCTATATCATCTCAAGTGAAACGTTCTGCTCTCCTAAGCCTGGATTGCAGTCTTCACAGAGACTTGTGCCAATTCTTATCCGCCCTTCTCTTGTGAAATATTTTGAGATTTAAGGTAAGAAGTAAAAACTCAGTACAAATTGTTTTCCTAGTCTGTTTGTCAGATGTCTTCTTTGAAAAGCAGTGACCCCCAAGGCTTTGTGCGTGATCCGTTGTCTACAGATCCTGTGTATAAAGCCTTTAGTCCTAGGACAAACAACAAAAATATTACTTGGCAGTGTTATCAGAAATCCTGCACTTTGCACAAAGTGAGGAAGCAGTTTTTCTAACCAAGAGGAAGAAAGATACATGTAATAAAACAACATAACTGCTATGATGTTGACCAAAATAAGCAGTAGGATCAACACTGCTTTGGTCTGTTGTCAATGTCAGGTTCTTCTGTTTAACTTTATAGACTTTTTTCTCAATAACTGTATTCCTACATTTTTTAAATCTACTGTCACCTCATAGAAGTAGTGATAGATTTTCTGCCTTGCTTTGGAGAGAAAGGCAATATGATCCGTACAATTTAAAACTAAATGAATAAACACATGAATAAAGTATGTGAGCAGGGAACAAGCGTCCTTCCACCTGTAAGATGGTTTCCTATTGTGATTTTGTAGAAGTGGGACTTGAGGAAGGATAGCAAAAGTCACTGGTATGAGTATAGGTGTGAAGCATAGAAGGACAGGCGGATGTTTGTGAGAAAGATAAAACAGTGATTAAAGGTGGTACAGTAGATGAAGTGGAGAAGAGGATAGAAATCCTAATTAATAAGAGAAAACAATAGAAAATAGAGTAATCAGATAGGAATGTGACATTATGAAGAGCTTTGCAAATTAGTTTGAATTTGATGTTGTGCAACAAGGTGAAATGATAAAGATGTTTCAGTAAAAGAATGACAGAAAGTGATGAGAGAAGAAAGCTTAGTAGGGGCATCTTGTGCACAGAGCTTTTTTCCAGACTCTGTCCTGACTCTGAAGGTATTCTTTGCGTCCAGGAACTTGCAAGAGTAATCAGCAAAAACATTCTCTTTCTGCCAAAGGCGATTTAATTATAAAGCTGTGTAATGATGAACATGGGAGTTATGGGGGAAGAAACTGAAAGTGCATGCAAACACCCTGTATATTTTTTCTCAAAAATATCTCTCGCCATTTTTTTTTAAATGACTGTAAGTGCTGCAGCATAGAGTGTGGATAAATATCAAGTCATTTTCTGTATTAACTCTGGTTGCTCTGTCCAAAAAATATTTTATTTTCACGTGATTATTTTACTTTGAACAGCTGATGAATTCTTAATCCTATCTCAGAATCCACACGTGAAAGAGAGAGATGATATTATTGATGTATCAGTAGTTATCTGATGAATCAAGAGCTCAAAGATTGCTCTATCCTTGGAAAGCTCTTTTTTCCGTTCTATATACTGTAAGAAATTTAAATAGATGTGTATGAGCTGCAAGGTATGTCTATCTGTACTGGTTCCTGTATGCTTACCTCCTCTTTTCTTTTCCTCCTCTCAGACTGTTTGATGTGTGCACCGTGTCACGAACAGACAGAGAGACCAAGTTAACATTAGTGTTTGAACACGTGGATCAAGACTTGACTACTTACTTGGATAAAGTTCCAGAGCCTGGAGTGCCTACTGAAACTATAAAGGTATTTAAGAAGAAGTATTTTGGATATTATTTCAGAAAATATTAGATAGGAACGGCAAAGAGATAAATCACAAAGATAAACTGCATCTTGATTCCATAGGATTTTGTTATATCAAAATTGAGTAATGCTCAGCTTGGGACATGAATTGCAGCACAAAGATCTGTATTCACTAACAGATGTAATCTCTTTGTGGAAATCTCTTTGTTGCACTTGGGGTTTTTTTCTTCTTTAGATTTATAAATCCCCTGAATCTCTACTGTTTTACCAAATGTAGCATTCCAAATCATTAAGAATGACCTTTGCTTGCAGCTGTAGGCAGATGATTCCATTATTGCTCAGTCCACGACTGCTTGAAACTTCCCTAGAAGGTGTCTGGTAGAGTGCTGGATATTCTTAGAATGGGTAAAATAAATCCTGTGCTCCTATCACCTTCCTTTTGCCCTTTATTTCCCCAAGAGACTCCTTTTGTTTCATGTCCCTCTTGCCAGAAAGGTTTCTATATGTTCCAAGAGCAGGAAATGTTCACTATGGACCTGCGGTGAGCTCTGCAGGGGATGGGGAAGGGAAGGGGATAGCCATGACCAGTGTTGTAGAAGCTAGGAAGGCTCTGGGTAACTGGAAAGATGGTGATGAAGTTTTCCCATTGTATCATCTCATATTCTGCATCTGTAAGGGAGGACCTCTTCCCAGGATAGGACGTGCTTGCGTTATTGGTAGTAAAATATGTATACCAACGCCTCTTCTCTCCTGGGAATTTCACAGCGAAGTGCTACATTGAGGATCATAGCTTGAAATGTTTGACAAAATGTTTACACCTGGGAAGAGAAGCAAAGGGATTGATTTTCCTACATCTTGACTGTGTCTTTTTAGCATTTCTTTTGATTTTTCTTTTTTCATGAGGAGAAATAATTTATGCTTTCAGAGGCGGATTATGTTGCATTTGTATAAGTACTTTCTGGAAGTATGTTGTGTCATCTTAGTCTAGCAAAAGTCCTGAGGGAGGAAAGGAAAACATGAAACCTATCTGAAATTTATTTATTTTAATATTTTTTTTGTTAACAGCTTCAAATTTAGGAGTTGTTTGATCTTTCGGTATAAAATTAGACATAAAACTGATAAAGATCTTTTCACTTGTATCAAAGTCACAAATGTATAACATCAGTCAGTTCCAGCAGCCATGTTTTTTAAGCAACCTTAGTAGAGAAAATAAAATGTAAAAAAATTAATTCAGCTTTGATTCAGTCCCAGCAGAAGACTGGATTGTACTTCTTGCATTTGAAGGACTCTTTTGTCACAATGCTTTTAGGGTTCTACTTCCTTCTAGGGCTTTGAAGCTACCTAAGGGAACTGTATTTCAATGTAATTAACATTGTGAAAACAACTTACAAGGTGACTGATGTATTATCTAACTAAATATATTGAAATGGATGGGAACTGAATGACCAAGCCTCTGAAATCTCAGTTTGAAATACATTTCGAGCTATGTTTCATTTAAAGCAAATATAAGAGGTGAGCATTGGACTAAAACATTTGTGATTTTCTAAAAGCCTGTTCTGAATTGGCACTAGTAGACCATAATACGTGTGTATGAACGTACACTTCATGGAGGTTATGTACTGGTGAAGGAAATTGTTGGCTTTACTTTTGAAAAGTACTGTTCTGCGTGTGTGGTTTACTAGTTCAACCTAGTTGATACATCTGATAACTTGGCACAATAAAAGAGAAAAATCTAGCCACACAGCAACAAGGAGGAGCAATTCTCGTCTTTCATGTACAGTGCAAGTTCCACTGCAGCCAGTGAAATTAGTAATGTAAAATTCAGCTTGTGGTACGGACAGCTCTTTTCGAATGGCTGAGGAAAAATGTAGAATTGCTGTTTACTCGGTCATTGCTGTTGATTTCAACATTTGCACAGTAGCTGATCTGTTATTTCTTGAATTCTGCTTGGCACAGAAAAAGAGAGAGATTCCATTAACTTAAGTTGCACCCTGTTGCTTCACTATTTATGTGAAAACACCCAGTTTATGGAGATAGATACTTTTGCTGATAGTCAGGGCTGATCACATGAGGGAGGGTCTCAAGCCTTATTCCTAATGCATTTCGATACCTTTCTAATGATGCAGACTTTATGGATATTCCTGGTAGAAACTGAAGCAAAGCATAGTTCTCCTGACTGCAGGGAAATAGCTCCATTTTGCAGCAACTGAGCATTTAACCCAGAGCACATACATCGTTAAATGACTAATCTGACTTTTTATAGTTTGGCTTTTGAGGTTAATATGGATTTGTACTTCATTTATTTTCCAGAATTGCAGACAGTTTGTGTGGAGCATTTCCCCTCAGCACTAGCACAGTACAAAACAACTGCCAGTATTGTAAGACCATCTGTTAAATTCGGCATGTGTCAGCCACACAGAGGTGCCAAATGAGCCAAGGGAGCTCTGGGCAGCTTGAAGTTGAAGGATCTAATACACCTCTTTGGCACCATGGTGTAAGCTCAACAGTTGTTAGTGGAACTTGAATGACATAAAATTACTATGAGAGAAGTATCAGCCCCCAAAGATCTTTTTCTGTGTGAATTAACTACAATCATTACATACCATTTGGGGGAGGGAGACCCAGCTTTTGCTGGTTTGGGGCATGTTGGGGTTTTTAGTTACCAACTGTCAAGGGATAGAAGTGACACTGGTACCATTTTAAGAATTTCCTTTATGTTTAGCAGATAGGAGTCAGACTGTAGCAGTCCAGAGGAACTAACTATATCGATCACTTAAACACAGCTAAAGCTTTTGTCTTAATGCCTCTCAGCAATGCCTTTCTAATGTCTAAAGCCCTGCAGCTGGAGCCACCCCAGAGGCTATTTTAGGAACATGTCCACAGGTGCCCATAAAACGATAGAAGAGAGGCAGTTTCCCTTTGAGGCATTGCCTGGCAATGGGAGTGCTTACCCAGGATGCAGGGCACACGTGCTCACTTCCCTCCCTGTCGCCAGGAGCATGAATGCCGTAGTCCATTTCTGTGTCTATAGCTCTGGCTACTGGGTTCTAGGTTATTCTGGATAGAGGTATTTTAAATCTTTTCTGCTGAAGCACTTCCATTACTTTTTAATGGAGTATACTTTGGGCTAGAGGGATGGAGAACATGATGCCCAATACTCGTGGAGATGGCATTGGCCTTTGAAAGAGAACTATGTTCAAGCCCATAATCTAATTAATATCTCTTTGTAACTACTGGATTATGGTCCTTCTTGCCCTTGCTGGCTTCCTCTGTCAGACCTGATTAACACAGTTCCATACAGGCTCAATCAGAATCAGCAGTGACAACATCTTCCTTCTTTCCTCTCTACCCATCGTCTCCTCCCTTCTTTTCTTTCTGGGATACTCTTTAACTGTAGGGCAGTTTATGTGGAAATGGAAGGTATGAGTTCAGTTTCCTTAGGACATAGCTGTTAGTCATGCACAGGTCTTTGGTAATGCTAATGGTGTTAGCAGTTGAGCCTCTGAGACACTTGGCTCATTAGCAACTTTTGTTAGTTGACATAAGTTTAGTGGAAATGGGAATGATGCATCACTGCCACAGAAAGATTTAAAAAAAAATAGTTAACAGGCCACCAAACATTTTGATGTGATGCTTGTGAGATTGGGATGGACTTTTTGTTTCTAAAGGATTTGGATATGGATATGGTTGTTATAACACTAATTACATTTTTAGTATGGAAATCATGTGCATGCAAACAAGTTGATTTTTACTGATTTCAGCTACTGTGATGTATATAACAATATTTAGCTTTAAATGAATATATGCCTGCGATGGCTTGGTATATAGAGCTGTAAATGAAGTGGTTTAGGCATGGCTCTTTGGAGTTCCCTCCAGTCATCATGTTCTGCTGGGCCAAGGGGTCTGTAAGAATGGGAAGGGACAACAAACTGTTACCAAGGTTCTTTAATTTTAGTAATGAACAAGTTAACTTCGTGAGGTAATGTCATTATAAGTAAACTTGTGGCTTCTTGCAATAGTTTTCTTACAGCTGAGCAGAACTTAGCCTACGCAAGCTACACATGCTAACTGGGCTGTGCCCCTTTCAATCTGACAGTCAGCAGAGGAGGGAACAGAACAAAGGACTCCAGTATAGCAGGTGCTGTGGGATGTTAGAAGAGCTGGGAATGTCCTGTCTGCCCAGGTCTGTAGTCTGTGGATCTTCATGGTGTGCCCCCCAGCCAAATCACAGAGAGAAGAGGGTTTAAGTTACATCCTTTTCTCTGGTGTTTCCTGATTCTTCACTCATGTGAATGGCTTCTGTGGCTTTTATTCTGTATCTCCTTTGCATAGGAAGCCTAGATCTCCATCAGATTCGGGGATCCAGATTTTGCTATTTAGATGCCTAAAATTCAGAAAGCACAGCAGTGAACCTATTTTCCTTTTGTGGATTTATCTGATAGTAGCCCAAAAATTGAATTTTAAAATATTACCCCCGGTCCTAGAATAAATGTTGCTGTTGCATCCCTCTGCATTTCCTGTAACTTACATTACCTGCTATCAAGCCAGGCAGACCGATCACATCTTTGCAAGACTCTTAGGAAATTAATATGAAGATGCTGCTTCTCAGAAAGCAAACCAGTGTTCAGTGTTGTGAGGTGAGTCATCAGCCATCTGCCATGGTTTTACCTACTCGGTCGATCACGTATGAGATGTGGAGCAGATGTCACACAATCACGCAGTTCTGAAAACAACGCAAGATATTCCAGGAAAACAGATTTGCCAGTACTGAGAGTCTTCAGAGTGTGGCTGTATTTAACAACATCAAAGTTAAGAGTCACTAAAAAAAGAGCCTACTCAAATTAATAAGAAAGGTTCTAAGAGAAGAGGTGTTACTAACATTTTCCTGTCAGTACTTTTGTGGTAAAGAAAGAAGCAAAGCTTAGTGAGGAATTTAGAGTCCACAAATAATGGACCAGGTCCCCAGCTGATACTAAGAGGTGTAAAACCATTAGCTTCAGTGA